CTTTCGACAATTGGACAATGTAAACAGGTACGATGTTCTTTTGCTCTTGAACAAGCCAGGTGACTGATTTCTATTGCGTAATATTCGTGTAAAAATAACCCCCAAGTCAGTCAAAAAAAGAAAATTATCGTAGAGAGAAAACACATAGATCAAAGAGTACACGAGGCTCGTTGCTCGAGGACCTTATAACCTTAATCGCAACGAGTCTAGTAACGTTTTGAGTAGACTATAGTTGTTTGGATCAACTCAGTTGTCCCATTTTGAGAAAAGACTGGGACTATCCGAGCCATCCCAAATGAAACTTTCTTCTAAGCTTTGTGATTTATAAGGATGGGCCGAAACGGCTTCTTTGAATCGATACGATACCGAGTACGATATTTGCTTTTTTCTTCGATATCAATACCGATACCGATACTGTGACGTCATTGAAATAACTATTAAGTCACGTGATCTGATTGACTAAATGAAGGCACTCACGCACGGTTTTCTGTTCAGTTCTCTAAAGTACCATCAACAAGACATTTAAACAAGTCAAAAATTTTCAATTTATTGAGACTCATTATTAATTTCCCCGAGAAAATGAAGAAGAGCTGTAATGGTACAATCTTTGTACTTAGGATATCAAGCAATATGCAACTTTCACTTGTGTTCCTGATAACGAGGCACACAATGAAAGGTTACCAGTCCCTGCACGGGTCACTAATAATAACCAAACACGAATGCCCGACTTATGATGGATCCTGTGCTTCAATACTCGATACACCAGAGACTCCCTGGCATACAGGACCATGCAGATGCGCCATACTTTAGAACTGGTTTAAACTTTATCAGTGCTTTTCTCGCTTGAGGTTTTTCTTTGGTAAGCGGGCATAATAGTTTGCATCTCATTTTTGTTACTCCAGATATCCGCCTTGTAATGCCTGGATTGTTGTGAGTTGTGATTTTGTTGCTGTTGTATAGAGCATGTAGAGTGACTTTCCATTTGCAATTAATTAATTCGGGTCCTATTTCACAACGAAATGTTGTATTAGGGAGTGGAAGAAGCGGTTACTTCGATCGGTACACAGCGGGAATCCTATAATTCACACAACAGCGCACATGCACGATCTCGAGCCCGGAGTCTACTTGTCAGCGGTTAGTCGCGGGAGATTAAAGTGCAGGTAGGTCACGTGCAGAATCGAAAGAATCGATACTCTTCGCTTGAATCGTTATATTTCGACCCGACCTCGGTATCTCTGGTATCGAATATTTGGTATCGGTATCGGCCCATCCTTGGTGATTTATCACGTACAAGAGCGACGGAGAACGATAATAACAACACACAAAAGGAAGAAATTTGAAGAAATTTGAGGAAGCTTGTTTCGCTGACTTGTAGCTTAAATCAGAATTCCCTCTATTAACTCTGCTTAAATCAGTACCTTATGATTTGGCGTTTTCCTCAGCAAGTCAAGAAAAACTAGAAATAAATTTTTTGCGTTGTGCGTGATATTTGATCATCGCTGTTGTTTATAGGTTGTAGATAAAACGTAGATAATAATAGATGTACAGATTTGTGTTTTGGTTTAACTAGGGTTACGTTTCAATATTAAACGTCGAGATCACAATCGAATGACATGGTCTGAGACAAACAAATCTCGGTTTCGTTTTGTGATTTGTTCAAAGAGCTAAATCGATGATGACAATTAACAACTGATTCTAGGAAAAACTAAAAAAGGAATATCACAAGGCTTCATTGTTTCAACCTGATTTCTGCAAAATACATGGTCGCTCTCCTCGCTCGCTTCTCACGAAGATAATGGACATCAAAACGTTGCCCCAAGATCTTCGTGAAGAAGTGTCTTGTCCTGTGTGTACTGACATATACAGAGATCCAAAACAGCTCCAATGTTTACACAGCTTCTGCTTGCAATGCTTGAAGCACTGGCACAGAACAAGCCATGGCCGAGATACAATCAGATGTCCGGAATGCCAAGCTCTTAGCAAAGTGCCAGAAAGTGGCGATCTGAAAGATCTACCAACCAGTTTTTACCTGAACGACCTGATTGATGTGTTAGTCATCAAAGAGTGTAAAAGCAGTCAAGTACAGTGTGGAAATTGTGACAAGAAAAGCTCCGAGACATCTTATTGTTTCCAATGTTGCATATTTTATTGCCCAGAATGCGTCACTGGACATAACATCATGCGAAATAACAAAGATCACCGTGTTCTGGCGCTTAAAGATTTTCAAGACAAGGAACTTGAGGATATGATGAAACGACCCATGCACTGCTCGAAACAGCGGCACGAAAAAGAAGAGCTGAAATACTTTTGCAAGAGTTGTGCAACGGCAGCTTGCCAAAGCTGTGTTTTGTTAGATCATGCGGGTCACGCTTTAGTGCACTTGGAGGAAGAGGCGGAAAGGCAAAAACTCAAAATGAAATCACTAATTGAAACCCTGAGGCGTAATTTACGAGTAAATATAAACATTGTCGTTCAACTCGATGAAAATCACGCGAAACTGATGAAAAAAGGAGAAGACTTGAAGCGAGAAGTACAGAAATTTGTGGACAATTTGTTTGCAACTGTTGAAGCGAAGAAACAAGCCATTTTTGAGACTGTGGAGAAAGTAACGAGAAAATCGCTCGAAACTCTTGCAGTGCAGAAAACGGAGCTTGAACGTCAAATAAAATCAATTCAATCATCGTTGGAAAAAGCTGATAAACTTTTGATACGAAGTACAAACGCTGAAGTCGTTCAACTGATGAAATCAATAGAAA